AACCTGCAAACACTTTTGCTCAACCAAATGGCCTCAGGCCGTAACACTTATGAACAACTTCAGTTTGTAAAACGCTTTAAGAAAGAGCATGTTAAAAAGATTAATTAAAAGTAAATGCTTTGCGCTCCTATTTATTGTCTGTGCAGTGAAACAGGAGAGGCGTCCCTTCATGTCCTGGGCGTGTCTTTAGAGGACAGGGGCGTGTACACCTGTGTGGCCTCGAACATCGCGGGCACCGTCGCCTCCTCTGCCAGCCTCATGGTGTCGGGTGAGATTAGATGTCTGTCTGTTACAGCAGGCGTCACTTGAACCTTGTTTTCTGCATCTCTCTGAATCCTTGATAAAATAAATGTCCTCTGCAGCTCCTGGTGATGACAGTGAAGACATCTGGAAGAGCAGTTTTGAGTCTTACTACACAGAGATTACTGAACTCGGAAGGTAAGGTAGCTTTGATAAAACTCTCCTTTTCATTTCTCTGCTGTACCACATTGTCCAGGGGCAGAGACATGAGACAAATGCAAAAAGGACTGTCCAAAAGCAAACCCCGCCTAATGAAAATAAGGCTCCAGAATCTATCGAGTTTATTGTTTTTGTCCTATTATTGTGTGCAAGATCAGTATTGTGTACATTTGCAATAAATAGTCCCTGTCATTAATATATTTAGCAATTAGATGGACTTAAGCCCCTCACAAGATTTAGATGACAGTGGCCAAGATGATAAAGAATCACAATGACAGAAGGAAAACGTAAGAATGATCTATGAAACAAAAAACTTTTATTATTTCATAATGCACTGCCCCAAACACCCCTAGTCTCTGACACTGAAACATTTTGAATCCAGATCTCAGAGAGGAGATTTTTGAGGAAACCCACGTAGATGATGTGAAATCGCACAAGGGTTTTACAGGCAGCTGCAAACATTTTCCTGCACTCGCACAAATAGACGAACTATATTTACAATTATTGTCCGAGAGCAGAGTGCTGTTTGTGCTGATCACCCTTTTGAAACATGTAGGAGCAAACCAACAACATCCTCAGTCCAAAAGAACGTTCCTGTATTCACCAGTTTGGATGCAACTGCGTTCATGCTGACACTGAATGTGCCCAACATCTGTGTTGCCAGATATACATAATTACCTTTTTTTAAATCCCCGTGCTTTTCTGTGCACATGCACACCAAACACAACACACACCTCATCTTACAACACCCTCAGTCAGAACGTACGATGGTTGTGTCAAAATACAGTAATTGTAAAGCTGCAGTACAATAGTTATCATTAGTTATCAATAGTTACATTCTTATCTGCAACTCTGCTGATCATTGTCAGTGTGTTTCTTTTTTTCTTTCTTTTTTATTTGGCACAATAAACATTGTAAAAACCTTAATGTTTCCAGAGATCGTTCTCCTGTAAACAGAGTGCTAATCTCAGTTCACAGTTTAGTCCTTGAACCCAAAAATGGTGTTTCACCACATCAGGACCAGGCTTTGGGCCTCAGAGACTACCTGTCCTGAGAGGGTTGGTGTGTATATGAGACAAGGTCCTAGAAAGGCAACAGAAAACAGGTTCATGCACACTAAAATGCTCAAAGGCTATGAGCTAACAGAAGCAAAAGACTGGCTAAAAGCTAAAAGTAGCTAAAAATGTAAAGTAGTAAAAGAAGTCAAAACTTTTAGTAAGTATTCTAAAACAGATTTCAAAGGGAACAATGTATTTAAACTGTAAATATTCAGTAACTTTCTACAAAGAAAATATTTGTAAGTAAAAACAATTTTGAAAAGTAAAATAAAAGTTATTAAATGCAAAAGCCAGAGCCTCCATCTCCTGAATCCTGAATAAGCTGAATGTTTTGAACCATGAATCACTCAAATAGTACAAAGTCTGCAGAAGTAGATTGAAAGGGACTAATGAAAAACAAGGTGAGCTGCCGTGTGACACAGGACGTCCCTCTCTGCTGTGCAGGGGCCGGTTCTCCGTGACCAAGAGGAGTGACCAGCGAGGAAGTAAACGCACCATCGCAGCTAAACACGTCAACAAGAAGCTGCTGCGTCGAGAGCAGGTTCTGCAGGAGATCCGACTCCTACAGACCCTGGACCACCCCAACCTGGTCAGACTTCTGGACACGTACGAGACGTCCAGCAGCTACGTCCTTGTCCTGGAGATGTGAGCGCAGCAGAGACCACACCATTAGAGAACATCTGCTGCATGTTGCTGTGACTTCACTGATGAGCTTCTTGTTTCTGCCCTCAGGGCAGACCAGGGACGGTTCCTGGACTACATAGTGAGCTGGGGAAACCTGACAGAGGAGAAGGTGGCTCTGTACCTCAGAGACATCCTGGAGGCTCTGCAGTACCTGCACCTCTGGCACATAGCTCACCTGGATGTCAAGGTCAGCAGATCTAACCACGTGTCTGTGGGTTTTCTTCTTTATAAACTTTGTCTTTTAAATTGGCTCTCACTTTGGTCCTGCAGCTTGAAGGTCTTTCTCTGTATTGACACCCCCCCCCCCCCCCCCCC